AAGATCACTAAATAACTATTAAAATCTATACAATTAATAATAATTGCATATATTTTCGAATATTTCTTTGCTTACTTCCATTTTTTTTTAACAAATGTAAGGTTATTTGCTTTCACGGAATTCTGTTTTTGTACACAAATGCAACTCTACATATCGTTTGACACTTTTCATGAATTTGTCAGAAGAAAAACTCCGGACTAAATCTTGAAACTTCATTCTGGGAACAGTCGCTCAGTTACTCTCACGAGAGTGTTCCCAGATACAGAATTTTGGGCGTATGGGAACGACTTTGGACTAAATCCTGCTAGGGACGTTCCGATACCATCAAAGTATCGATACCTACTCAAATGAGTTTACTCAAAGCGCTATTTCGATACTACTTATATGATTGAACCGAATGTATCGATACTTACTTATATCGATAACTTTTCATTCTTTTATATGCAACAAAGCGAAAGTAATTTTCAGGCGTTATCTGTGACTAGGGTTGCCAGATTTGGAAACGGAAAAAGGGGTACATTTATATTTTCGATAGAAAAAAGCAGTACAAGGTCTAAAAAAGGAGTACAATTTTTTTTTAATTTTTTGTGCAATTTACAAATTATTATTAATTAGGTACAAATAAACAAAGATATTTTAGAAATCTTTTTCAAAGCAACAATAAATGTTAAAAATAAATAATTAAATGGGCTGGTCGTTAAAGAGATGGTGATCAAAGGGGGATTGGGCGTGGCCCCCATTTGTGATATTTGGCGATTTTTCTAAGGTGTCCCTAGGGACCCATAGGGGCCTAGGTGGTCGGGGGTTCTACGCCCACTCCCCCTTCGCTCACCACCTCTTCAATGACCGCCCTTATAGGAAATTTTCCCAACTAAATTCTACAAAAGAATTCCAAACTCTTTCTGAATATATGGCTAGTTTATTAATTTAAGCCTTATAATTAATTTAATAGTTTTCTGATTTTTATACCCGAGCGCTCTGCACCTACCTTGCTACGACCATGCCTACATCTTTTCACTATCACACTTAACTTTGCTTACTAAGTAGTGTTTGCCACAATATGAATGGCAAAGTACAGGGCGTAAGATAATAACTGTCGCACAGGTTTTTTGAAAAATAAAAGGGTCCTTTATAGATGTTGCGAAAAAGAGTATTTTTTTGCTAACTTTGTTAATACTTTACATTAATTGTATTAATTAGTTTTAAAATTTTAATCCTTATTTGCATTTGCCAGCTTTGGGAGATAAGTTCATGCGGCACTCACGTCTTTTTTGGTGCACTTTTTCTTAGACTTTGTATACAAAAATAGAAAAAAACTGTATAGGGTTGGTCGTGTGAATGTCCTCCTGGTCACCGGTTCGGAGTCTTTTCGATTGCTGAGTGTGAGGCCTTATCTTGGATGAAAGACGGAGTATAAAGGACCCAAATGGGGGAAAATAGCCTATATTTACAGAAGATATGTAATAAAGTAACCGATGAAGACTTGCGTGCCGCTTGCGCTTTTCTCCCAAACCCGCTGGTTAACCCAAATGAAGGTTAAAATTTAAAAACGTATTAATAAAATTTTCGCAAAATCTATAAAAAACTTTATTAAAAACAAACAAAACTGTGCGACAGTTATTATTTTACACCCTGTATATGATAAAATATTAATAGCTGGAAAAAGGAGAACAAAAGAAGTACAAAACTAATAAAGGAGTACATTTCCATATATTTTTTTGGGAGTACAAGGGAGTACATTGCAATAAAAAGGAGTACGTGTACTCCCAAAAGCAGTACGCCCGGCAACCCTATCTGTGACATACCTTTGTGCGACACCTGAGTAGTAGATCGACCTATCTCAACAGCCAGTTTGAAAACGCCCTATCTGAGAAAACTTTTCAAAAGCACCCTATTTCAGAATTTGATTGAAAAACGCCTTATATCAGAAAACTTTTCAAGACCACCCTCTTTCAGAATTCAGTACAAAAACGCCCTCTCTCTGCTGCCGATTCAAAACGCCTTATCTCAAATATTTTCAGTACATTTTCAGTTGAGGTATCGATCTGTTTATTTGATCATTAGTAACATTAGAAGTAATACGATTGCTTAGACAAAATATTAAACCTTTGAAAGGTTCCCACAAAACGTTACTGCTACAAAGCATTGCTTGCACTTTGTAAAAATATATCCCCACCTTAGATTTTGCCGGTGCCATTGCTTAAAGCAATTATTTTTCATAAAAACGAAGCAATTATTTTCCATAGAAAAAATATGACCGAAAGATATGACACTTCCTCAAATCTATTCGATACAAGTACTTTTATTTCGATACTAAGAAGGTATCGATAAAACGATTCAAGTAAAAAAGTAGTTGGTATTGAAACAAAAGTATCGAGTACAAACTCGTATCTACTTATATCGGAACTTCCCTAAATCCTGCAAAAACCCGCAAATCGTAGACGTGCTGGAAAGCACTAAATGTTCGCTTAAGTAACCGCATCGAGGTACTTAAGCGGGTTCTTTTAAGTACCCAACCCGCCTAAGTACCTCAAAATGTTGACATTTTTCGTGAGGTATTTAAGCGGGTTTTACTGTACTTCACTTCCTCAGAGCTTTCAACATGTAAACTGCTGCCGTTTACAGCACAACCAATTGCTTTACCACACTCACTGTACTACCCCGTTCTTTTGTTGTATTTAGTGCAAGTCAATATTTGCAGCAAGCAAACAAATACTGCCATTGCAGTAACGATAGCCAGCAGCGACAATACAGTATTTGTTTTGATTGCGAGCAAGCCATGAGTTTAGGCCAAAACACAATAGCGCAGTGGCAGTGGCAGTGACAGTTTTTAAAATCAGCTGTTACTGCTAATATTGGCAGTCAATGCCGCAGCAAACACAATACGGCGTTGTCAGTGACTGCTTTTTTTGACATTCCCTTTTGTTTGTTTACATTTTTGTTGTTGCCTTTTAGGCTTCAGTGACATCAACAGATGTTGGCTGCGTTTCATTTATGTCAAATTCAGCATGCGAAGTTTGCTGCGATGAAGGCAGTGGCAGTGAATTTAGAATTTGGGCTAAACTGAGCAGTACTGCTAGCTGCCACTGCTGTATTGTGAGTCGCTTCATTGGACACCACACTTTCTAAAAAACAGCTGATTTCGAAAAACTGCCGCTGCCACTGCCACTGCGTTATTGTATTTTGGGCTTTTCACTTTATTTACTGTCAAGTGCATTTGCTTCATTACTGCATTTACTGAAGTGTGCAATAGTGTAAAATAAAAGTAAAACCAGTTGCGCAGCTTCTGCTCCAAATTTTATGAGTAGAGGCAGGAGGACTTCTTCCATATTTTGGCAGTATAAGCATATCCATTGTGGTTCCGATGGAGCCATGCACTCGATGCCTCTTTAAAAATATCGAAGAAAAGTATCGATGCCACAAATGTATCGGAGAGAAGTGCAGATATTCTTATCTATCGATGCCACAAATGTATCTGCGATGTTGAGCGAAATTTTTATTCCAAAAATATCTTAATTGAAGGCACATCTGGAAAATACGTCGAAACGATCTAAATATTTTTATAACTACTAGCCCTTATAACGTTGCATATACCTGTAAAATGCTTCAAAAAAATGTTCTCTAGAAGTGTGTAAAATCCCCGATTTAGTACTTTTAATTATGCTCCTTCTTGTAGTGAGAATATTTCGAGCGTGGTATCAAATCAAATTATTTTCGACAAAGGTTCTGATAGCTGCTCTTACTTAATTGGAGCCTTCTAAATTCAATGGCGTCCCCAGTTTTGCCCTATTGTCTCCACTTTTGGAGATAGCGGTACTTTGAACTTTGCTTAAATTTCAACTATTTTATAAAAAAAACTCCTTCAGTTTTGAAGATATTTTACTAAAATTTTGCACGTGCTTGTATTTTAATATTTCCTTCACTATCTCATAGAACCATCGAAATCGGTTCACTCTAAAATCTAGCTCCCATACAACTGATTGCCCAGAGACGTTGTTTTGCGTTATAACTCCTCCAATTAATCAGGTAAAAATTTAGTATATGTTCACTTTAAAATATAGTACGCATACTATTTATTATTCAGATATGAAGTTAGAGTTGCAGCGCAAAAACACATATCTGAGTAATCAGTTGTATTGGAGCTATACGTTAAAGTGCACCCATTTCGATAATTTTAAGGAATAATTAAGGTAATATTAAAACACCGTTATGTGCAAAGCTTTAGTAGGATAACTTCAAAACTGAGGGAGTTATTTATAAAATAGTTAAAATTTAATCAAATTTTCAAATACCGTTGTCTCGAAAACCGGAGTCAATCTGGTAAAACAGGGGATGCCATTGAATTTAGAACGTCCCAATTAAGTGAGTTCAACTTTCAAAATCTTGGCTCAAAATTTACTACTTGAACAACGTAATTTGAACCCAGCTTATTTTGTTTTCTATTTCATGTTTATTCCTCGTCTAACTTTTGAAGCACTTCATGAAAATGAATTACACTTATAATAATCGATTATAGTCGATAGGTGTGCTCACAAATTTAAAAATTAATTTTTTTTTGGAGAGTGTACCTATTTTTTAGATTTGCCCTTATACGTATTGATATATGTATGTAAAAGTATATATTTATTGAAAAGTTTAATAAGAGCTTTGCGTTTTCTGCAGCCGCGGCGATCCTAAATGTGTCTTGTGAAGAAAACAGAATCAATTCGAGTTGTTTCCGACCAAAACTTACCGAAATGGTAGCGGAATGTTTCTTTGAGTACTTTCCGACTTATCAAAAGAGCAAGCTTGTTTGGCTACTTTCGGCTAAAAACTTCAAAATTTGAATGTTTGACTACTCCCATTTCCAAATGTCGATTTCGCATTTTCATTTGACACTCTCTCATTTACAATTGACTAACTATTCTGTTTTCCAATTTAAAATCTGATTTCCAAATAACCATTTCTCATTTGCAAGTGACTATTCTCATTTACAAATGACCAT